AAAAAAAAAAAAAGCTGTTTATTAGAAATCAACTATTACTATTTCCCAAGTCCTTTAAATCCTCCAAATGAAAAATGAAAAGGGTATCAATTATTCAAATAAAATACATTAGTCACTTACATACAAGACAAAGTGCAAATAGCCCCTGAGGTCCTATAATCTAGTTAAGGAGATTAGAAAGGAGCACACAGAAAAAAGACTGAAAGTTGAGCATTAAAGTATCTTTTATTCCCCCAAATCACTAGACAATACATAATTAATAGCCTTATAATATTAATAATGATAACAACAGTAATAAGTGTTCGTATAGTGATTACTGTCCACCCTTTAAGTGCTTTTGCCTAAATTAATTTATTTAATCTTCCCAACAGTACCATGGTATAGTGACGTAGTTATTTTCTTTAGTTCCTTTTCACAGATGAGGCACAAAGACATTCAATATCTTGCTCTAAGTCACACGGCTAGTACTTAGTAGAGCAAAAATTCGAACAGGACAGTCCAGCTCTAGAGTCAGTGCTCTTAACCCCTACACTGAATTGCTAAAATTTCAGAGACTGGAAAGGCCTTATGGCTTAAACGCTTGAAGGAGAAGAATGGAGCCCTCATCTTTCTACACAGCTTATATCTAGAATCTGATGGTTGGTATTTCTTTATCTGTGTGTTGTTCAAAACGCACTGATGAAAAATGGAATATTCCTCCTTTCTGAGAGGTATACTATCCATCAGGCACTGACCTAAGTGTTCTGCAGATATTAGCTCATTTAATCCTTACAACTACGAGTACTGAGGTGAGAACAATTAGGCTCAGAGAAGTAAAGTAACTTGCCCAAAGTCAAAATCTTAATACGGGGCCGGCCAAGTGGCTCACCTGGTTAAGAGCTCGCTCAAGAGTGTGAGCTCTGAGCAACAGCGGTTTGATTCCCAGCCTGAGCTGAGCTGCCACTGAGCTCTTTTAGGTGGCAGGGTGGCTCAGCTAAAAAAAATAAAAATAAAAATAAAAAATAAAAAAAAACTTAGTTCATGTAAAGCTGAGATGTGAACCCAGGCAGTCCATGCTCTTAAACATTAGACTATCTGCCTCTCCTAAAAATAAAAACTAAAGTCTTGTCCATATGCTTCTCTTCAGAAGAAGAGATGTCAGCTTCAATGTTGACTGACAGATTTCATATGATTTAGGAATTCAGAACTGCCTACAAGTCTACAGAAGTTTATATGTAAAGAATTCTAGTTCTTCACTTGACTGTATGCTCCAAGAGTAGAAACTGTGTCCACTGTTTACCACTAGATTCTTAGCACCTAGCATAGTACCTGACATATAACAGATATACAATGAATACTCATCAAATAAACTCAAATATTCTCAAATTTGTAGAATATTTTGGCATGTAACAACATAAATAAGGTGGCTAATCAAAGTAATTTAGTGGACAAAAAATGGTGCTACCCTAAAAATGACCACTTTTGTTTTTTTAAAAAGTTTTAAAAACTTAAAAGTATTTTATTTTAATGAAGAAAGAAATCCTTTGAATAAAACGGAAATGCTATACTGTATAAAGCAAAATGGTAAGATTATTTACAGTAAGTGCAACTTACCTTTGAGCCATCTAAACTGATTATCCTATACACATTTCTTGTGCTGTCATAGAAATAAGACACAGTAACTGCGTGCTTGCTGGTGGGTACCCAGTTCTTCTTTGTGTTTGGGTCAATCTGGAAGACATGAGCACGGGTGCTGAAGATGGGTTGTTCCCTGTGGGGAGAAAAAATGACAGACTGAAAGCAGCCAATTTTATTCCACTGTACAACAGAACATGATAACTGTGAGGATGACTCCACGTAACCATAACTCCCACATCCCTGAAAATAACAGAAAATTTATTTCAAATTTGAATATTCTAAGTATTCAATCATAAGCTTTTTTAAAACAATTACAGTCAACCCTCATTATTCGAAGATTCTGTATTTCTGAATTTCCCTACTCAATAAAATGTATTTGTAATCCCAAAATCAATATTTGAGGTACTTTCTTGGTCTTTTGTAGTGGAAAATGTAAGTCACCTGACATGCGCGTTTCTTTCTGAGGTGGATCAAGGTAACACTCTGTCTTCTTGTTTTAGCTCTTATACTATGTGCCATTTTTTTTCCATCTATTTAGCGCCAGGTATTGCATTTTTGTGCTTTTTGTTGGTGCTTTCACTGTTTAAAATGGTCCCCAAGCATGAGTTCTGAAGTACTGTCTGTTCCTAAGGGCAAGAAGGCTGTGATGTGCCATACGGAGTGAATATACGTATATGAGCTTTGTTCAGGCATAAATTATAGTACTGTTGGCCACGAGTTCAATGGTAATGAATCAACAATATATATTAAATAAAGTGTCTTTAAACAGAAACACACATAAAACAAGGCTATGTACTGACTGGTTGACGAAAATGTTATGACCAGAGGCACGCAGGAAAATAACTTTATATTCCCCCTAGGAACAATGGTTCAAAACTTGCTAATTGAGTGTTCATGATGCCTTTATAGAACATAACTACTGCTAATAATGAGAATTGACTATATCCTGTTGAAATACAAATCTTATATTTGACCCTCACTAGGTTAAAAGTTTTTACTCATTTAAAACTACATTATTCTGGGGAGCCGTTGAGGATCTTGCTCCCTGTCGTACATCATCATTTCAGCTCCAATAAACTCAAAAAATTCTCTACAGGTTTGGATGTTTCTTATGTCAACAAGACCAACAAAATCCCTATAGGTTAGCACAGAGAAGTTCAAGAAAATAAAAAGATGAAAAAGGAACTAACAAGGAAAGGCAAATTATTTTTAAGTAACGGATGAGGATCAGTGAGAGCTCCGTGTCTTGAAGAGTTAACAGAAAGGGTGACCTGCCTGGACTAGATTAATGTGCTATAAATTGAAAGTGTAGTCTACACCACATATTTGTAATTTAGAGAAATGTCTAACCAACTGGAGCCTCAGTTTCCTCCTATCTAAAATAAAGAATTAAAAACACTACATTAATCTGGTAATAGGTAAACAGCTTGCTGAGGAAGTTTACATTCAGTAACATCTCTACTATATTGAAAAGTACGTGGAAAATAAAGCAGCTTACCACTACAGTATCTCTCACTGAGAGCAAGCAGAGCCGTAGACACACAATACAGATTTTTTAAATTATAATGTCAAGAACCAAAACTACTGAAAAATAGTAGTTTGAATACTACATATTCAAAATATGATTATAGATTTTACAGTGTGAAAAACAAACACGAGATTATCTGTATATAATAGAAGTGTTATATGCAAAAATTTCCAATTCTGAGTAAAATTCTTTTGAAAACAGCATTTACAAGGTT